GGTCCTGGTCCTTCCCGCGTTGCCGGCCCAGGCGGGGCGGCAGGGCTGGGGCTCTGCTGCGGCGGGAGCGGCCGCCCGGGCTGGGCTGCGCCAGGAGGGGCGCGCTCCTGCGCTCTTGCCAGCGGGGTCGCCTGCAGGGGTGGCGAGGCGAGGACTCACGTCTGCGGGGCCAGCAGCTCGCGGAGCTCCTCGGAGGATGCGGCCTCCTGAGACCCTGCTGCGGACGTTCCTGTCGCCTCGCTCGCACGTGAGCACCAGGCTGCGGGAGGGCGGCTAGGGTGCTCCTTGGGAATCTGGGGGAGCCACACAGAGAGCCCTACCGTGAGGGCTGCATCCCGCAGGAGGCGACGCCAGATCAGCTCAGCGTCCCTGCATCACCTTTACAGAAACGTAAGGACCTACCTGGTGTCCGTTGTCGCTGGACTTCTCGCCCAGCTACGTCTGAATTCCCAAATCGCCGCCTCTGAAAAACCTTCCCCATGTCTCAGCCCTGGGAACGCTCCCCTTCCGCGCTTGGTTACTTTGGGTCGTATCCCATCACTTACTAGTCTTGACCGCTAACACCCACGTAACGTGCTTGCTAGGAGCCAGATCCTGCTTGAAGTATTAAAGATATTAGCTTATTTAAAGATCCCAACAGCCCTGTGAGGCAGGTATTATTATGGCCGTTTTACAGGGGAGAGAACTGAGGCCCAGAGAGGTCACGGAGCTTTCCCAAGATCACAGAGCTGGTAAGGGACAGAGCCAGTATTTGAACCCTGTGGGTCAGAGGCATGCGGAATTTATTTCCTGCAGAGCATTTTTTAGAGAGGTTTTTGCTATAGGGCGCGTTCACTCGCCAGACAGAGAGAGACAGAGAGACAGAAAGCGAGAAATCACCCCCCCAGGGGGGATGGCCACGTGGCAATCCCTTCTCCTCCATTGTCCTCTCGGGATCTTGGGCACGCACACACACGCGCCCGGTGTGAATTTAAGCCACTGGGTCCGGGACACGAACCGTGGTGGACTACATGGGAGTCCCGCGACATAGCCATTACACCAACTGCTGGTCCCTGCAGAGCATTTTTAACATTCGGTAATCATTTGTTCATTGTATTTAAGTCTACGTCTCTGATACTAAATCTAAGCATCTGGAGGGCAGGTGGTTTGCCTGCCTTGTCTATACTGCAGCTCCAATACCCAGAAAAGTGGCTGGCATCTAGCCGTAAATACTGCTGGAAGCATGAATGCTGCTAGCAGTAGGCTGTCTTTGCGGGGCTACTCATCACCAAGTTACAGAGCCCATTTCACAACAGTCACTGCAAACTCAGGCCGGGTAAAGCAGTGCGGTGCAGCCTGAGGAGGTGCTGGGAGGATGGCCAGGCTTGTCGCTGGGCGCCCTTACAACACCGGAAGTTCATTCGGATTCAGGACAGACAGCACTGTGCACCTCGGACTGCCACAGAGGAACTGAGATGGGTCAAGGCCATGAGGCTCAGGTCTTCCTCCGCCGGGCATTCTACTCCTTACCAGGCACTCAGTCAGAGTCCAGGACACAAAGATGAGTACCAAGGCACGAAGACAAATGAGACAGGGTGCTGGGAGAACACAAGGCCAGATCAAAGGTCGCTGGGGGAGTGGTGGGGGGAGTGGGGGGCCAAGGATTATAGGTACATCGAGGACCTCACTCCAAAGCTAGGTCTTGAATGAATGAGATATTGCCAGGCATGTATGTGTTTGAGGAAGAAAATGTACTTTTTCAGACTCATTGTCCTCAGCTGTGACAAAAACCTCATTCGGGTTTTGAACAGCAGTTCCAGATTGTCTTCAAATAATTTAGTTTGAAACTAAAGAGTCGATAGAAGGCAACTATTTAGATGATTCAGTTGCTCAGAATTTTAATTTAGTCTGAAATGTCTGATAGTTGAGGATATCATGAAAAATGTAGAGACAGTGGTGACTGACTGGAACCCAGTCTTGCCTACACAGATAATCAAAAAGAACTTAAGAGAGGAAAATGCAGAGGGGGCACGTGGGAAAGAACCATTTCACTGAGTATGCTCTTTTTTCTTTAAAAGAGAAAGTGCAGGGTCAGAACTGTGGCCTAGTGGTTAAGGAAACCAGATCCCACATGGCCAACCATATGATTTGAATCCTGGACCTGAACGTGTGAAAAATATTCCCATCATCTGCATGTGCCCCCAATTCCAAAGGATGGAGAAATGGAGGAGAAGGGATTGCCACATAATCACCTCCCAATGGAAGTTCCTTTCATCCTCTCCCTCCCCCTCTGTCTCTCTCTGGTGAGCATAGGCACCTCTCGGCAAATTCAAACAAATAACTAAAAGACAGGAGGATAAAACTATAAAACAGAAAAAAATATTTCTTCCAAGCATGATTCACAAAAAGTTTGCTGTTTATCCAGAAAAAAATAGTTCTTCAACAACTAATCAGCTTAAAATTGCATATTATCAGTATATCCTAAACTAATAAGATATTTCGAAAATCAACACTTGAAATACTAATTTTTGAAAGCTGGTAAGCTGGTTCCATAAATAATATAATTTATGGGACTTCGGCGTTTACGTGAAATATTAAAAGAGAGCGCTGTAGATCCATGAATTAGCAGTCTCCACATGCACGCACGTCACGTTCCTGGTGTTTAAAGTTAGGCTGTGTGTTGCTGTATTACCTCATTTGAGGGTGAAGAAGCTATGGGTGCCAAGTCATCCAGGATGCTTGGAGAACTTGCAGGAAGACAGAGGGCTGATGTGTATTTGCTTTCATCGATCTTCTCTCTCACGTTTTCAAGGAGCATCTTCAACTTGAAGATTTCACCTTCCATTTTTCTAAGTAAACATAAATAAGCATCTTCTGGTCTGGGTAGGCAGCATTCTAATTAGTAACAACAGGTCTTGAATATAGCATTGATCTCATCGATCCACATTGATTAATGTGGCCTGTCTTCAGGCAGGAAGGATAACAGACACTGCCCTGACTGGCGTCCTGCTTACAGTTTCATTCCAAAGGCCTGAGCTCTAAACTCCACTTGCTGCCCATTAGCTGTGTACCCGTGGGTAAATCACTTAAGTTTTCTGGATCTCCAATGTCTCAACTAAAAACTGGGATAACAATGCCTTGCTTATCTGAAACTGATCATTTCAAGGCCCTCACAGCTCTAAGAGCGATGGTTCTATGGAAATATTTGTTATTCCAATTGAAAAACAGAAAGTGCATAAAATAACTGAATAAATTAACGAAGCTGCTCTCTATATGACTATATACACAAATATATATAAAGATATATTTTACCCAATGAAAAGAATCCATTTCCTTCAAATCCATTACACTTACAAAGCTCTACCTTGTATTAGACCACAAAGAAAAACCTCAAAAAATTCTAAAACATTCAAAATTAAACCACATACATTCTCTGATCACTAGAAATTAACAACAAAAAGGTAGCAAAAAAAAAAAAGCACACAAAAACAGAACAAAACAAAACAAAATCCCACATATTTCTAATTGGAAATCGTAACATTCATCTAAATTAGAAATAATTTACAAGTGGATGACAAATGGGAGAACATATGGATATGTAATGCAGTTAAAGTAGTACTCCGAGGAAAACTTAGAGTCTTAAAATGCATTATCAGGACAAAACATTTTTAAAAATCAATAAACTAAGTCTCTAAAACAGGAAGGCAGAAAATAAGTATTGAATAAATCAGGAAGCACCAGCTGATGACACAGCAGTGATACAATTGGAACCACATGGGCGAGGTCCTGGAGTCATCACCTAGGACCTCCCTGAGCATGCTGGGCATGCGTGATCCTGTGATCCAGACTGACTGACACTGAAGGTGAACTGTGGTGTGGGAACCGCTGTTGGAGATGCCTATTTCTTTTTTTCTTTTTTTTTTTTACTTTTTTTTGGGGGGGGAGAGGTTTTCACTATAGGGCGTGTGCACTCGCCAGACAGAAAGAGAGAGATAGAGAGACAGAAAGCGAGAAATCACCCCCCTGGGGGGATGGTCACACCACAATCACTTCTCCTCCATTCTCTCCCAGGATCTTGGGCACGCACGCACACGCGCCTGGCGTGAGTTTTAAGCCACCGGGTCTGGGATGTGAACCGCGGTCGACTACGTGGGAGTCCAGCGACATAGCCATTACGCTAACTACTGGTTCCTGGAGATGCCTATTTCTGCCTGCCTCTATCTTTCATGGAAAATATAAATAAATAAACTAAAAAAATAATAATAATTAGAAAAAGGAATTCATAAAAGTAAGCATAAATAAATAAAATTTAAAAGAAACTTATGCCGAGTACATGTGTGTGTGTGCCCAAAACCCTAGGAAGAGAATAGAAGAGAAGGATTTGCAGCATGATCATTCCCTCTGGGGGACTGATTTCTTCTTTCCCTCTCACTGTCTCTATCACTCTCCAGTGAGCACACGCACCCTATGGCAAAAATCTTAGAAAAGAAAACATGCTGGGCATGTGTGTGTGTTTGTATAATGGAATGGGAAAATGGAGAAGAAGGGATTGTGGTGTAACCTCTTCCTATTCATTGTTGTGTGCTTTCTCCCTCTCCCTCTTTCTGTCTCTTTCTGGTGAGCACATACATCCTAGGTCATTGAAGGGGGGAGAAAAGTAAAAAGGATTGGACAGTTCATCCAAGTGAAATGGGCAACTCTCTAGGAAAATATATATCTATTTTTTGAGATTCTTTTTTTGAGAGGTTTTGCTATAGGGCACGTGCGCTTGCCAGAGAGACACAGAGAGACAGAAAGCAAGAAATCACCCCCCAGGGGGGATGGCCACGCCGCAATCCCTTCTCCTCCATTCTCCTCTCGGGATCTTGGGCACGCACGCACACGCGCCCAGCGTGAGTTTAAGCCACCAGGTCTGGGACTTAAACCGCGGTCAACTACATGGGAGTTCAGCAACATAGCCATTACTGCTGGTCCCTATTTTTTGCTGTAAGGCTGAAATTTTTTGCTGGAAAGACAAAGAGGCAGAAAGTAAGAAATCACCCCCCACCACCACCACCAGAGTGGATGGCTACACTGCAATCCCTTCTCCTCCATTCTCCTCTTGGGATCTTGGGCCGCATGCACACTCACTTGGCGTGAGTTTCAAGCCAGCAGGTCTGGGACTCGAACCACGGTCGACTACATGGGAGTCCAGCAACATAACCATTAAGCCATCAGCTGGTTCCAGGAAAATATAAAGTATTAAAAAGAAGTAGGAAGGGAACAGCAGGTGGTGTGGTGGTTAGGGCATTGAATTCCTACACAGCTGACAAGTCCCAGACCTAGGGGCTTGAAAATCACAGCAGGTCTGTGTAAGTGCAAGCCCAAAATCCAGGAGAATGGAGGAGAAGGGAATGTGGCCTGGCCATCCCCCAGGAGGGTGGGATTTCTCACTTTCCTTCTCTCTGTCTTTCTGGTGAGCACACACGCCCCGTGAAACGCCTGCATGACTTCACAGAGCATTACGTTACTGCTGCATCATGGCTGGCCAGGAAGGTGTTTAAAAGAGCATAACAGCTGATAGAAACAAGCGACTAGTCAGTGAACCCGCAGAGTCCTCACCCCTACAGAAAACCATCTGCATTAGCCTTTGTACTCAACATTTAGAAAGTTGTTAGCATACCGAGACCCCTCAGGGTTGTGTGGAATTCTGTCCATTGCCACATTATGCCCAGGTGTGACAGGGTGCCAACCCGGGCTGTCTGCCTTTGCTTGTCCTGAGGTGCCTTTAACTGCGTTTGGGGAGCGGCCGGTCCCTCCCTTGCCTGTCTTGAAAACTTCTCCCATATATGGGATATAATTGCAGTTGGAACGCTCTTGATTTATATTCCGATTTCAACTGCCAGGCGCAATGTGGTCGTAACGGGGATAGAAATACGGCATTGCGCAACCTTGGTCTTAATGTGCTCAGAGGCCTGTCTTTAAAATGACTGCCAAAACAAGAGATTTCTTGGAAAATAAATACTTACTCTATTAATTTAAAACAAATAGCATAAGCATTTAGAGATTGTGTTTTTTTTTTCCTCAGAAGAAAAAAATAGCTTTTGGGAAACATCAATATTTAAGCCCTGTCCTTGCTGCCTAATGACTCAGTGCTGAAATTAAGGTAGACAGAGACTCTACCTTCATTCTGGAGAAAGGAAAATCGTACCGCAGCAAAAATATGTCAGGACACTAGTGCCAAAATATAAACCATTAAAATATTTTGGCACCAAGAATGATTCCATGTTAAAATACGCTGAAGAGAAAGAGCTAAACTTACAAATATTAAGCCTACTAAATGGATTGTTTTCATTCATACCAGGAAATTATATAAAAATAACCCGAGCCTATTCCTGGAATGCTGAAATACATCTTTGAATTATCTGGAGTGGAAAGAGAAGAGCAGGATGTTGCTTATGTCCGGTTAGAAACTCGAACGTGAGTGGGCAAAGTTCCTAGTGGGAGTCGTTTGACTTTAAGTGTTCACGTATCTTCTTTATCAGGATTTATGGATCCCTCAGCCCAACACTAGCCAACCCTATAATGATCCTCTCCTGTCTGCTGCCCCCTTATTGTCAGTGGATGGGAAAGAAAAGGGGAAAGGCAAGGGGGGGAGAGAAGAATCAGTCAGGGATAACAAAGGTAGGCATGGGGGAGAAATAGAAGTGGGTAAATCTGAGAAGAGAGAGGAAGAAGAGAGAGGAGAGATTTGAGGAAAAGGCCATCTGGGGTTTTCTGAGGTTTCCTTATTCACTTCTGAGGCTCAGAACAAATTTTACTGGCAGCCAACAAAATGCAAAATAGTACCTCAGTCCCAGGGCATAGCTGTTCACTTTGGCCACTCCATCCCAGCGAGGGCCCACCAAGGACACCCAGTAGGGAGTCCATGCTACTTGTGATGTAAGGCAACACTTTGCTCCCTGGGGGGACAGTTTTGGCTGACCACAGACCCGATCTGCAAGCACTAAGCCAAGCGGCCACATCAGCATCCCACCTGGAGGAGGTTGCCTTTGACCCCTCCACCTAACACAGCTGGTTTAAACCTGACCTTTCTGGATCAAAGTCACCGATGGTAGGGAATTCAAGCTTGTGGACTTGCTGCTGCAGAGTCAGATGCTGCTCCTTGTTGGCCACAAACTCCTGCTCCAGCAGTTCGAGATGTCCCTGCAGTTCCTCCAGGACCTGTAGCAGTGAGTCACCAGAATCATTCACATGACAGCATGCGTGCACAGCCGACCCTTGACTAACATGGGGTAGCGCTGCACGGGTCTCCTTCTACACAGATTTTCCTCAATAAATATTGTCAATATATTGTAGTTCCTTTGCCTTTTGATTTTTTTTTTTCCCATAGGATGCATGTGTTCACCAGAGAGGGACAATGAGAGGGAAACTGAGCGATCACCCCTCCAGGGGGGATGGTCATGCCACAATTCCTTCTCCTCCGTTCTCCTCCTGGGATTTTGGGCACTCACCCACATGCCCGGTGTGATTTTTTTTTTTTTTTGAGAGGTTTTTGCTATAGGGCGCATGCACTCGCCAGACAGACAGAGAGAAACAGAGAGCTAGAAATCACCCCCCAGAGGGGATGGCCACGCCGCAATCCCTTCTCCTCCATTCTCCTCTCAGGATCTTGGGCACGCATGCACACACGCCTGGCATGAGTTTAAGCCACCGGGTCCAGGACGCGAACCGCGGCCAACTACGTGGGAGTCCAGTGACATAGCGATTACACTAACTGCTGGTCCCCCGGGTGTGATTTTCAAGCCACCAGGTCTGCACTCTAACCATGGTAGGCCACATGAGAGTCCAGCACCTTAACCACTACCCCACCTGCTGGCTCCCCCTTACGATTTTATTAATAATATTTTCTTTTCTCCAGCTTAATTTACTGTAAGAATATAACATATAGTATATAGAACATACAAAATAGGTATTAACTGGCTGCTTCTACTAAGCAAGTTCAAAAAGTTTATGAAAAATGTATATTATTAAAAAAAACAACTGCATGGATTTCAAACACTCCTTAAACAAAAACACTTGTACTTAAATGCCATCTTCCACAGACTTTTTGAAGTGCCATGTATTAGTGGTAAGGCTTTCAGTCAATGATAGGCTATCAGTAGTTCAGTTTTGGGGAGTGCAAAGGTACCTGCAGATCTTTGACTACTCTGAGGTCTACGCCTCTAACTCCCATGTTGATCGAGGGCCGACTGTCATTGTTTCCACAAAACACACAAGGCAGGTGTACCATACAGTAGGGTCAGACAAAGCTGCTGCCGGTCTCCTAGCAGTGTCTGTTGTTTTATTCCAGTATGACACCTCAACTCTAGACACCCCAAGGGTCATCTTGACATTCACAACACCCTCACGGCAACCAGCTGAAAAGCACAGTGACTTGGGGTCTCTCTGTCAGAACCCTCACCGAGGACTGCGCTCCCTTAGTGGGGCGTTCTGCATCCTGTGTATTTGCAGAATGATTTTCAGCTTCCGAAGCCCTTTCCTGTTTCTTATCCTGTTTAGTCCATACCTCAATGTCATAAAGGTTGCAAACTAGATTCTATCATGCCAGTTTTATACAGGAGGAAAAGGGAACTCTAGGACATATCTCTGAAGCCACACAGAGCTTACAAAAGAACTGACAAAAAATAAAACTAAAAGAAGGAGGTGGGGTTGGCTCCATGATAGAGCAGTAGTGTGCTGCCTAAGAGAAGCCAGATCCCACATAGCAACCATGGTTCGAATCCCCAGCCCAGTTAGCCTGAAACATGCTGGGCACACATGCCCAAGACCCAAGAGCAGGAGGAAAGAGAGTACAGCACTACCTAACCCTGTGGAGAGAACTCATCTCTCTCCCACATGCACACATACTCGATCATGGATAAAGGAAAAAATAATGATCAAAAGGAATTGCCATTAGAGGCCTGGGGTTGAGGCTATGGACAGTTGGAGGGTGAAATGGGAAAGGAACAGCAGGACGGTTTGGGCAGAGCTGTGAATGGGCCTTTCAGATGACATCACTTGTAGCCTCGTGCAGGTCAAGGTCACGTGTTGATGTGTAGAGGCTTCAACCCCTTAGTCACTAAACAATCCCTGAGCACTGCCAGAATGTGACATACAAGAAACCGCACAGTCCTCAGTCTGGGGGATTTTATTATGTTGAGAAATAAACTGTGGATTAGACTTTGCCAAGACTCAACGGAAGGAGCTAGACCTAAGGCACTTCAAGGTTGCACTTCAAGGAGGGCCTGGGCCAGGCAGCTTTCATGAAAACGGAGAAGAAGGGATGCATTGGAGACAGATTGCCACGGGCAGGAATATAGCACCGAGGGTCACAGGATCCACAACAGGGTTCAAGTCCAGGCTCTGTCACTTACCAATTGCATAAGTTTAGCCATCTTGAACTTGATAAGCTTCAGTTTTCTCACCTATAAAATTACCTGATAGTGTGAAAATTAGGGAGAAAATGCATTGTACCAGGAATTTCAGTTCCTTTCTAAAAATCATTATTTTTTCCTTTATTCATGATAGAGTGCGTGTGCACGCACGTGAAAGACCACAGCGCATACTCTACGGAGGGTAGGTGCTAGTATTAACTCATATCAAAAATGAGTAAATGAAATTTGGATGCATCTGTCCATGGGATATAAAAATGGCAAGTGGGTAGCTGTCTTTCATGTTCCCTCCAGATTAACCCTCTGGCTTTGTCTGTGTCCCAGCTGGGAGGAAGGCTGACATTTGATCGACAGCACCAACAGGCTCCGTCATGCCCTGGCTTCGGTTATTTTCAGTCAGTGGAAGACAATGGCGTGAGGGGGAGTTGAAGAAGGGTGAGGTCAGTCTTTTTTTTCCCCTGATTTTCTCCTCACCTAGTCCTCCTGGATTGGCATTGTCCCTTGACCAAAAGCTGCAGTTCGTCAGCTGCTCCCACAACCTCGGCTACTCCCTTCAGCCCCAGTAACAGCTCTTCCTTTGCTCCTTTGGCCTGAGAGTAAACAGCTCCCACTGTTCCTCCCAGGAGATGGTTAGCCACCCCTTGCTGGCTTCCCTTAACCTTGTCCGCCCTGTCCTAAAATAATGTCCTTATTAAACTCTCCCTAATTACTCCTCTGGAATAAGCCATCAGGTCCCTGCCAGGCCCCTGCCTGCTACTATAAATCTCACAGACGGTGCTCACGTTTCTGGCTTGGAAGGTGGGGAAGAATATGCCACACCCAACTGGAATGAGGATTTAGGGAAGGCTAACAAGTTCAAGTGAAGATCTCGGTGTTGGACAGAGAGAGTTTGCTGTGAGAAGTGGAATATTCAAGTGAGACACACACAGACATTTGGAGCGATAGATAACAGGTCAGGACAAGTAATTTAATTTAGCTGAAAATGGCAACTACCATAATGGAAGCTAAGGCCACAAGAATTAGGTGTTCTAAAGGAAAGAGGACCAGGAGCAAAGAGAAGAAATTCAGTTATGAATTATAATTTACAACTTATGAGAATTTAAATTGTGTTATAGTTCTGAAGACAGGGCACAATTTCCCAGGCACAAACGTACCTCAGTTCTCATAATAACTGAACTAGAAGCTACGCTCCAGCATGTCCGAGAGTCTTACCAGTGAGTGGATCTGGGATCTTTGCTCTGAAACCCAAATGCTTTCTACTGTTATGCTGTTCAAGTTGAGCAGCACGGGGTTAGCCCGGTGTAGGCATCTTCCAAAGCTGACCCACATGGGCCTGGAACTCTAGGACAATGGCTGACCCTGTCAGGGGCCATGAATCCTCTGAGTCTCTGGCCCAGGAGGAATCTCCACTTAACTAACATCAGAAAGAGACATCCAGATAGAGCCTCTGAAGGCTGGTGCCTTGAAGCAGTTCTCTCTGCTTTCCTGGGCCCTTCAAAACTCTATTCTGCCAGTTCCTGAAATGTGGGCTTCTGGGAGATCTCTAACATACCATTCACTCCGGGACCCCTGCATTCTGGCTTTCAGATCCGCCACTTCATCAAAGGCAGGCTCGTGACCTGCGCGTTGCCAAACCTGACACATACCCTATTTCCCCTTCTTCCTTGAACATTCGATGACGTGGCTATTTTCCAATAGTCAAAACCCTCATTTCCCTGGGCTTTCCGGCTCTGCTGGTCCACATCTGCCCCCAAACTTCCAGGTCTTTCCTCTTCAGTCTCCTTTGGGAAACTTCCTTCACCTGTGCCCAGTTACTGTTGCCCATGATTCTATCCCTGGCCCTTTTTTTTTTCTTTTTCTTTTTTTTCTTTTCTTTCTTTCTTTTTTTTTCGAGGTTTTTGCTATAGGACGCATGCACTCGCCAGACAGACAGAGACAGAGAGACAGAAAGCGAGAAATCACCCCCCAGGGGGGATGGTCACGCTGCAATCCCTTCTCCTCCATTCTCCTCTCGGGATCTTGGGCACGCACGCACACACACCCGGCCTGAGTTTTAAGCCACCGGGTCTAGGACGTGAACCGCGGTTGACTACATAGCCATTACGCTAACTGCTGGTCCCTCCCTGGCCCTTTTCCAGGTCTCACTCTGCTATTTTGTCTGGGAAATTTCACACACACACACACACACACACACACACACACACAATCACTTCAACCCACACCACACAACTATGCCCAAATCCGCATTCT